ACAAAGGTTATGTTACAAAGTATTGAGTTGTATTTTTGTTATTGACCAAATACTTATTTTCCACCCTGATTTACGAATAAATTCTTTACAAATCCTACCATATGGATTCATGGATTTTTTTTTTTCACATTCTGTCTCTCACAGTTGAAGTGTACCTCTGGTGCAAATTACTGACCTCTGTCATCATTTTAAGTGGGGGAACTTGCACAATCGGTGGCTGACTAAATACTTTTTTGCCCCACTGTAGCTAAGACTGCTGGGTCTAGAGATGCTTTTTGAGTAAAGGTTTAACTACAGCCAGCTTGAAGGCCTGTGGTACATAGCCAATTATTAGAGATAGGTTGATCATATTTAAGATTGAAGCATTAATTAATGGCAGGACTTCTTTGAGCAGTTTTGTAGGAATGGGGTCTAAAAGACACGTTGATGGTTTGGAGGAAGTAATTATTGAAGTTAACTCAGAAAGATCGATTGGAGAAAAAGACTCTAAGTGAATATCAGTGGTACTAAGAGTAGCTGTAGATAATGTTACATCTGTGGGATGATTATTGGTAATTTTTTTCTCTAATGATAAAAATTTTATTTGTGAAGAAGTTCATGAAGTCATTACTAGTTAACGTTAAAGGGATGGTTGGCTCAAAAGAGCTCTGACTTTTTGTCAGCCTGGCTACAGTGCTGAAGAGAAACCTGGGGTTGTTCTTATTTTCTTCAATCAGTGATGAATAGTAAGATGTTCTGGCTTTGCGGAGGGCTTTCTTATAAAGCAGCAAACTATTTCTCCAGGCTAAATGATGATCCTCTAAATTTGTGACACGCCATTTCCTCTCCAGATTACGAGTCATCTGCTCTAGGCTACGTGTTTGAGAATTATACCACGGAGTCAGGTACTTCTTCTTTTTTTTGACATTAAAGTTTTTATTGATTTTGTAGTTTTTTTGGAAACGTATACTTAAACCTGTGTAATAGGGAAAGAAAGAAAAAACAACAAACAAACAAACAAACAAAAAAACACAAGAAAACTGCTGGTGTGCACCCATCCCCCGTCCCCTTAAAAATCTAAGAGAAAGGAAAGAGAAACTAACAGCGGGTTCCAAGAGAAGAAACACAGAAACGGGCAAATAAAAATGATGGTAAAGTAACATTATTAACAACGTATTTGGACCGGTGGTCACAGTTAATAATCATTGAGATTATGATATTAGGGTCATGATTTTCTGTTTGCTTCAGATAGCTCCAAAAGTAGTCCCAATGTTTATCTTTGTCTTCTGTATCATTTTTAAGTTTATTCAGCATGGACTCATAGGAAGCAGTCTCTGCCATTGCTCTGATCCAGTCTTTTAGCTCAGGACGTACTGTAGTCTTCCAGTGCCGAAGGATAATCCTTGATGCGGTTACTAGTCCAACCATAACAACCGTGAAAATATTATTATAAATTCTTGGAATATGAGAACGGTCTCCTAACAAACACAATTCAGGAGTTAAGGGCATTTCTAATCCTGACCAACCTTTTAAAAGTGTGATGACTTCCTTCCAAAAAGGAGCTATAAGGGAACATTCCCAAAAACAATGTAGGAAAGTCCCTGGCCTCAACTTTTGCATTTCCAACAGAGATTGTCAGGCATAAGCTTCATACGGTGTAATCTTGTTGGAGTATGATAATATCTATGCAAAATTTTATATTGTATGCATTTGCTCCTCGCCTCCTTAGCATAAATCCCATTTTCCGCCAAAATCTCCATCCATTTTTTGTTTGGAATTGGTGCATTTAAATCTTTCTGCCACAAAGTTTTAATATTCGAACATTCCCCATCTATTATCATTTACCAACCTATAAAAACATGATGCTGTGTGACGCTCCTGAGGCATATTTATAAAATTTAGAACAAGATTTTCATGTCCCCTTCTGAACTTCGACGTCACACAGTGTCTAATTTGCAAATATCTCCAAAAATTTTCCTTCCTACCTCTAGTCATACCTCTTACGCAATGTGCACTACCACTGATCACTTGCTCGTTATATTGCACCTGCTCCCTTATATGGCATATATAATTTGTATATAACTTGTACATACCTGTGTTATTACATAACATTCCCTGTGTAGGCACCTCTTAAACTGTATTTTTTTTTCTCCTTCTAAAGGAACTTTAATGTTTTCATTCTATTCTATTCATCGGTCTTTCATGAGCAGCATTCAGAGCCAACAGATCATTATCAGATATTTAAATTAATACTTTCATTTTCTTTTTTTTCTTTTTTCTTTTTTTTTTTTTTCCTTTTTTTTCCCTTTTTTTTTTGGAAGTGACATCAGAAACAGCAGCATGTGACATCACGTGATGGCGGAGCTTCAGTTCATCCTTTGTCATCCTTTTTTTTTTTTTTTTAATAGGACAGGGGGAAAGAATGAAAGAAAGAGGGGGAGAGGAAGAAAGAAAACCAAAGGGGAGAAGAGACGGTGAGAAGGGGGGGAAGAGAGAAAAAAAAAAAAAAAAAAAAAAAAAAAAAAAAAAAACTCCTGGGTCACCTGTATGGAGAGAAAGAAAAACAAAAAAAACAGGGGAGACAGCAAACAACAAAGAGCAACTTTCATTTTCTAAGTAAATTCAAATTAAATTAATCACATAACAAGATGCTTTAACTCTTTAACTCAATGGAGCTCCGAAGGATCAGACAATTGATTCTGAACAGCTGTGAAGGGTTCACTGCACCACCTACTGGAGGTTTGCAGTCACTACACCAGAGTTTGAAAAATACACAAAAAATTGTCACATCAGCTTTAGTGTTTAAATTTTAAGTTTTACAGAGTAAATATGTCCATATGGAACAACTCCAGCAGTAAAATGAGGCCAGCACAAAATGATAAGGCTGCAGACTGCTCTAAACCCTAATTTCATCATTTTTTTCCTACTCTTGGACCTGTATGATGTCGTACAGAGGACACAGAAGATCCACCTGTTTTTTAAACCTCTATGTAAGGAGCAACCAACTGTCTTAAAAGCAGAGGTGCTAAAATTGCTTTTAACTGAGTGGACACAGCTATGCCCAATGTGAGATAAACTAGGACTATTTTGATCTGTGAATAATCAAAAGCTGCTCAAGAGAATATGTCGGTGAAAATGAGGAGAATCAGTCCCTTTCAGCATATGAGATGAGATGAGATGAGATGAGATGAGATGAGATGAGATGAGATGGCCTTTATTTGTCAGTTGCAGGTCTTTTGCCCACAACCGAGACCTTGCCGACCGTACATACAATACACAAACATCACATTGGGGAGACAGGTCAGGCTAGGTAGCGAGGAAAAAAACATCGAAATGTGTAACACAAAAGGATAATACAGGAATGCACAGATATCAACACACCATAACACAATAAACACAGACAAGCAACATGGGAAAGAGTTCCAGTGTGTACATCTGATCTGGGACCGCTGCAATCTTTCGACTGCGCCTCCAACTGACCCGATGTCCATGATTAAGCACTTTCTATGCTTCACTGTACATTTCAAATTTTATAAAGTATATATAGTTTCATTTTCTTTTGCGTAAACACCTCGTGACATCATTGTACAGCTGGTTAAGCTTTGATTAAGAATCCATGTAAGTATAAGACTTTAACTGAACAAACACACACATCCACACATGTGCAATAACACTAAGTGCAATAATCTTTTCTGGCATCGTTGTATTTTTACTCAGTTGTATATAGCATTCGTATTCTATTTTTATCTTATTGTATATTTTTATTCTATTTTATTCTACTGTATATAGTATTTTATTTTATTCTATTCTGTACAGCTGTGTACTGTATTTATTCCTATTGTATTCTAATTTTTGCGTCATAACTTTTGCACTGTCCACTTCCTGCTGTGACAAAACAAATTTCCCACGTGTGGGACTAATAAAGGTTATCTTATCTTATCTTATCTTATCTTATCTTATCATAAATAACTGCTGGATAACCGTATACAGGATACACATATATGCAGAGAAGTGTTCAAACGTTAACACAGCCTCGGTCCCATGATCACAGGTGCATAAAATCCAACACCTCCAGTCTGCCTTTGCAGACATTTGTGAAAGAATAGCTTGTTCCAAAGAGCTAACTGAATTTAAGTGTAGCACTATAACAAGATGCTGCTGTTGCAACAAGTCGGTTCAGTTTCGTCCGTCCTAAATGTTCTGGGAACACCTGTAAGTGCTGTTATTGCAAAGTGGAACCATTTAGGACACAGCAGCTAAGCCATGATGTCTCAGACCACGTAAGTGGGTCACTGCATGCTGAGGCTCAAGTGTGTAAAGTCACAAACATTCCAAATCTCTTTTATTAACAACAGCACAAAAACTTTGCACCCCCGAAGTATATTTTAAACCTATTATTACTGAAGTTATTTCATTGCATTTGGATTATTATAATTCATTTTATGTGGGAGTCAGTCCGTCATTACTCTCACATCTGCAACTGATTCAGAATGCTGCTGCACAACTCTTAGAAGGAACTTGCAAAAGAGAGCAGAGGTCAGCTGACCAGCTGCTTCTGGAAGTATTGAGATCCAAGAAGAAGCTCAGAGAGAGCAGGGAGTTCTCTGTTGTTGCTCCTAAATTATGGAATAACTTGCCCTTGTACATTAGAGAAACCCCTTCACTGCCAAATTTTATAACATGTCTTACAACCCACTTTTATTCTTCGGCTTTCTACCCCAGCAAGACTCCGTTTTTCTCTTAGTTATCTTACCTTTTTAACTGGCTATCATTTGTATGTTATGCATTTTTATTATTCAGCTTCAGTGTGCAGTACTGTGTCGCTGTGGCTGTTATAAAGTGCTTTATGAATAAGTGTAGCTGTAAATGGCCCAGTACTTTCGTTCATATGTTATAGGTTCAGGTCCAGGTTTTTAGGTGAGAATAAACTGATCCTTAACAGTTTGTTTCATCCACAATACTCAAATCTGTGCCTGTCATAAACTTAACAGAGGTTCAATGAATACCAGAGGAATCACAAAGGGGAGGGAAACGGGGTTTAATCTGACAGTTACATTTTGCACTTTGGAAATGCAACAGAACAAATTTCAGAGTTACATTAGACAATGAAAAAAAAATTCAATTTTAAGCCAAACTAAAAGATTAACAAATCAAAAATAACCAATTTACCCATCAACATAAGTAGAGCTACAGTATAATAATCTGTTTGCATTAAATGGCTGTAAATTCTGTTTATTGTAACTATCCTGTAATCCAGAAAAATACACGCTTTTTTCCATAATTCAGAAGAACAATACACAAAAAAGTTTGACAGAAGTTTTGTTTAATTTACAAACAAAACAATCATTTCTTATCAAAAATGACTTAAAGCAACAGAAACACAAATATGAGCTGAAGAACAGTGAGACAAACAGCAGCAGATGAGCGCAGCATCAGGACATCTTCTGGAACACAAACACCAGGTAGATACCTGCAGAGCAAAGACAGATGAGGGTTTTAGTGATCAACAGTTTGTAGATCAATGGGCCCACATATGAATACATATTTTAAAAGTAGATCAAAGACAACAATACTGAAATGTTTTTACAAGCATCAGTTTAAATGTGTCATGTAAACAGCTGATGGAGATGATCAGACTTACTGGTAGCTTCCCACTCAGATCTGCTCAGCGTTCCCTGCACACATGGAAATACAGACAAATGTTGTAAAACTGGGCCGAACACCTGAAACTGTTTTAGGTTTGTTTTTTTTTAAACTGAGCTGTGGGGGTAGACGTGGTCGCTCATCTACTAATGGAGAGGTTGGTTCTTCAATCGCATGCTATATATACACTTGGGCGAGATACTGAAACCGAAGCTGCTCCTGATGCATCCATGTGTTAATGTTAAAAAGTGCTTGAATGCATGTGTGTGAATGTGTGAATGAGACATGTGGCATAAAGCACTTGAGTGCTCAAGTAGAGTAGAAAAGCGCTATAAAAACCAGTCCATTTAACATTTACCATCTGAGCACACTTACCAGGGGAGTTCTGACGTCGGCTCGGTCACAGTGCTCTTTAGCATGACAGTATTCCTCTGCACTGTCTGAGGCTTGAAGACCATCCTCACTGGGAAATGGCTGAAAGCAAAACAAACTCTTAAAAAGATAGTAAGTAGTGACAGGTTAAAAGCAAAACCCGGACCTCTGAGCTACAGTGACAGATTCTGCTGGTTCTGATGTGTTTTCTTTATCCTCTGATCAAACACTACTATGAGATGAATTGTTCTATTTATCCACAAGACACAGGACCACACTAATGTTTGTGTGGATTTATTGGAGCAAAATATCGCCACACATCTAGCAAAACAGTAAAGCAGTGAACTTTTTTTTTAACACAGCAAACAAAAAAGAAAAAAAAAAACAGTTCATCCACTGTGTGCAGAGGAGTGAAGCTATTCTTAAGGCTTGAGAAGGTGAGATGCCTCACTGAAAGGATAAGTGGGTCCTTTCCTTTAATTTGTCACCATTTGGATCTGTGTCCAAAAATAACATGCTTAAATGTTGTGTTAAGTCCATATCTAGTTTGTCTTCTGGTCACATCATTATTGTAAAAATAAGAAAAATGAACTGAGAAATCATAGTCAGTATGTCAGTTTTAATTAATATTCTACCTCCAGAGCCATCATCTTCATCATGAGGCTGCGATGATTCTCCTTCTTCACCTTCTCCTCAAAGAAATCTGCAAATCTTTGTTTCAGCACCAGCTGCATATTGTACTGCTTCGCCATGCTGGGACATAAGAAGTGGAAACAGAGTATCATGAAATATTTTTATAGGAAATTCAGAGTACACAAGCAGATGTTACTGTGAGTACTCTTACTGTTCAAAGAGAGGAAAGTAGACGAGGAACTCTGGAACGTTGACGACTTCCTCGAGGTTAAAGTGATACTGACATCCGAACAGAGGGTAGGAACCTTTGGACTGAAAGGTCACTTTGAAAACCTCATTACCAAATGACAGCGAATCAGATGCCTCCAAACGTTTACTGTTGGGGGGGGGGCAAGGAAAAGAGTGAAGATGAAGCAGATACTGACTCAGTGATTCAGTCTTTACATCTGAACATTTCAAAATGTCTCTAATAGGGTCGGCTTAGCGCAGCTTGACTCAGTTTTAAGGTTTTTCATTAGGTGGTCGTACCTGGCACCAGGTACTTTTTTAGTACCTATTTGGCTGAGGTTCAGGGCGATCTGAGGCGATCCAGCCTCAGATCCTTGCTGTAATGACCCCATACACATTACATGGTACTCGTTTATAATGAAAAGTGACAAAGTCCGGTTGAGCCAAGCTACACAGAGACGGTACTAATGGAAAAAGGCTATAAAAACTCCAAGTATTAAGCTTATCTTAATACTTGGAGTTTTCATAGCTCCAACACCAGGTGGACAACCTGCTTCATGTGGCTTAGGTGAAGAAGGTTGTCCACCTGACATGTGGACAGATGTGACTATAAACAATTTACCATAAAAAAGCGCCTTTCATTACACTTAATTGTTTATCTTACACAAGTTCAAAGGCATCTGGCGTTGTACCGATGAAGTACCCTCCAGGTTTAAGACGCTCACAGGCATTTCTCAGCATCATATTAGCCTTCTGCTCACTCTCAAATGAGTAATGATACACAAACTGACAGCTGCAGATGTCGAACATAAGCTCAGCATCATCCAGTTTCTCTGACAACAACTCCTGTAGGTAGAGATAAAAGGTCAGTAACAAATCAAACAATCCAGACTGAGAAAAACCTCACTTTTATTTTCTTCTTAATTCTGATTTTATATATTCACTTTTATCACAGAATACTCGACTTATTTTTTGTGTGCTGCAGGTCTACCTTTGAACAGTCTGCTGTGATGAATTCAGCAGTGAAGATTTTCTCGTTACGGTGACTCTTTTTTTTCATCTCGTCATAACGAATCTGACATTGTTCCACAGAAACCCCTGCAATATCTGAAAATAAACATCTATGTTTAATCATCAAAAATCTCCAGCAACATGCAACAATTAATCTCAATTGTAATGCCTTTTGAGCTGAGGGGCAGTTATAGAGGCAAGAGATGATATGGGCCACCCTCCAGTCGATCCACCGCCCCCAGGAGGTACGGTTGCAGCTGGGTGCAGGGGTGGGTATTTTTGTATCCCCTCAGTTTGTTTCCAGTATGTTTTCGGTGGTGGATGAGAAGGTTCTGACTGTCGTTTGTGCTTATGAACTGAATAACAGTACATAAGCTTAGAGTATACAGCAGGGGTGTCCATCTCCAGGCCTCAGGGGCTGGTGTCCTTCAGGTTTAAGATCTCAACCTGGGTCAACACATCTGAATCAAATGATTAGTTCATTATCAGGCCTAGCTGTGTTTATCAAGGACACATCTAAAACCTGGTACACAGCTTTCTTGGAATCATTGAGTGGATTGCTCCATTTCATGTGACATTTCATGTCAATGGCATCTGTAGAAATATATTTACTTGGAAAAAATTCTAAGTAAATATAAAACGCATTTTTTTTAATCCAATGTAAATAACACTGAACTGAATTGACGTGATGACCAGTTATAGAGGACCGAGTCCCAGTTACTTAAGTCAAAAGTGAAGCACAAGTATTAGCTCATACATAGGTGAGATTTTGTGGCAGGTGCTCTCATTTGATCTCTGTGATGTTTGACATAATTCATTTCAATTCAATGCCACCACTTTACTGCTATGGAGAGGTTTGTGTGCCCCAGTAGTCCCAGCAGCTATCCTTTTCTTTGTCCCCTGGTAGGTCTCTCCCAAGGCAAATTGGTCCTGGATGAAAGCAATTCATTGGACCCCCATGAGAAAAAAAAGAGCAAGACACCTGAGTAACCTGTGCAAGATTGGGTTACTCCAGGGTTATTTCTCCTCACCCTGAAGCCAGGCTTGGTAGGGAGCTTGACAAAGAGCAGCTGGTGGCCACGCCTTGGGCCCACTACCTGTAGCAGATACCGTCGGGGTCAGGTATATTGTGTGTCAGGTGGCAGTCAAGGGCGAGGGCCCTGATAGCCCGATACCCAGCTATCAAAGCTGGCTACAGAGATGTGGAACCTGTCCTCTCTGGTTTGGAAGGAGCCTGAGCTAGAGTGTGAGGTTTAGGGACACTGACTAGATATAGTTGGGGTCACGTCATTGCACAGTTTGGGAACTGGAACCAGTGTCCTGGAGAGAATCTGGACTCTGTCCCAGTCAGTGAGGGACGGCACCTGCCTCTTTCTCTTACTGAGAAAGAGGCAGGCAGGCGGTGGGGATTTTTGTATGCCCTCAGTTTGCTCCTGTCCCCCGGGGGTTTTTGTGAGCGAGAGTGTTGTTTCCCTACGCCTTCAGATTGGGGAAAGGGTCCTGACTGTCGTCTGTGCTCATGTGAAGAACGACCCAGTCAAACAGAAGAGGGAGGATGGATGGATGGATGGATGGATGGATGGATGGATGGATGGATGGATGGATGGATGGATGGATGGATGGATGGATGGATGGATGGATGGATGGTTGGCAGGCAGGTTTGATTTTACACAAAGTTAACATTGACTGTTTCAGGTTAAACAGCAGGATGAGGTGCGTCTGTAGAGGAAGATTTCACTGCTGGTCCTTTACAGTCCTTAAAGCTGTATAGGCATGAAAAGAGTCTGTAGAAATGTGATGTCAAGTTTCATAAACCATAAAAATCAATGAATCAATACCTGCACAGACCAGGTGATCGATTCCTCCTCTTCTCCACTTCAGTAGGTCTCCTCCTTTTCCACAACCAAGGTCCAACACAGACACCTGCTGAGATCCCGCCCCTCTTACCTGCTCCAAGATCTCACCTGTCAATAGAAAAAGACACTAAACTGTAAGAGGATGTAAATATTTTATTTTTAAAGTTGCTTCCACACAAGGTGCTGCAGAAAGAAAATAGGTAAAATCAGAAAAAAAATATAAATAATTATTAAATGGTGAAAGAATAAAAAGTAAAAAGTTTATAAAAATGGTTAAAATACAGTCCAGTAGACTCGGAATAAAAATTATTCTTCCCCCAGTGTTGGACTGTAGCTGGTGATGGTAGTCCTAGTTCAGTTCAAGAGGATCACTCAGAGATCTGGTTCATGAGCAGAACCAGAATGACCAGCTCCAGCACACCATGGAGGAGAGACTCAGAGGAGGTGAAGGTAATAATTATTTATTATCATCACAAAGGATGACTTTTATTATTTACCTTAAAAAAAAAAACAACTAGGCTACACCTTTACTGAGAGGGTGGTTTGTGGCTCAGCTGCAATGGAGGGGTGGAGCAGCAGGTTCAAATAGTGTGTGGGGGGGGTGGGGGGTGTCCAAATAGTGCATGCCCTGCTCTGAGTGTCAACCTTTGTATTATTCTGGAGGATTATACAATGCAATTTCCTGACTAACCACCTTGTTCATGACTCACACACTAAAAGAACTGTACTAATTACTGGGTATTAAGTTTTGTTTGGCCAGCATCTATGACCTTCAGACTGACAGGCTGGTGGAACTGCTAAGTAAGACAGAATCCATGATTCGTAAGTTAATTCATGAGGATAAGGAGAAGGTTATCATGAGAATTTGCTCCAGGCACGTCAGCAGTGCCTAAATCTAAGATTTATCACCTCAACCTGCTCAAAGATAGGCTGAAATTGCTTCTCTGGTGAGCCTGGTGAAGGAAAGAGATGAGTTGGGACCAGCGGTATCAAATTCTATCATTTCCACCTCCTTCCGTTGTGATGACCATCTTGCACAGGCCCAGAGAGTGGATGGTGCTGCAGTGCAACATCGTTTTGTCTGGTTGTACCAGTCTCACAGAGCACCGTTTTGTAGCACACTCTAGTGTGATGGTGCATTCACTACCAGATACTTGAACACACAAGACAAATTGCTCAGAAGGAATTGGCTGAAATACTGAAAATGGGAGTAATAGAAGAGTCATACCAAAAGCAAAAAAAAGACTACTAAAGATACAACAATCACTCAACTTACAATGCTGTCTGCGTCGGTCCTTTGTGTTACAGGATGGCAAATAGAAAAGCGTCCTTTTATAGTCTTTTTCTACTCGAGCACTCAAAGTGTTTCATATAACATGTCTCATCCATTCACACCAATCATAGACATAGAAAAAAGTGCTTGTAAGTGCATTTAATCTAACATTCATACACAGCGTCACACTCCCATGAAAGTCATGGTTCAGCATCTTGCCCAAGGACATCTTGGCACACAAACTGGAGCAGCCAGTTTTGGAATCAACAGCCTTATGATTAGTAGATGACCTCCTAAACTACAGTCACCTCTATGTTCATACAAGGCACAGGTGAAACATAAAGGCAAACCTTTTTAAATAAAATAATCAGTCCCTTTCTCTGTTCGATAAAACTGTAGAAAATGGACGAGTTCTCTGGTCCATGTGAAAATAAAAACAATAAACTGGCTTCCTGTAAAAAGTTTACACCAGCCCCTTTGCAAGGTTTAACCATTTATTTTAGTTAAATCTATTAAATCTGTTTTTTAAAAGTTTCTGATCATTTATAAAACACTTTTTTTAAAGGATGAAGGTCATTAATCAGCATGACGACAACAGGCTGCCAAATAAAACATAAAAGGCCAATAATCTGTATTAGTGACTGGTATTATACTCGCTGGATAAATATCACTGCATTGTCATTTTGTTCTGATAATCAGCTTTCTAAATGTTGGATCTGATGTTTGGCCCTAGAGACAACTTATAGCAAAAAATAAACAAAAACAAAACTACGCTCTCATGTTATTATGCATGCGATTGCCGGATGGGTGTTAATTGCTTACAGATCACTATGGATATGTTAAAACTGAGGAAGTGTGGTGTGTTGATCAGAAGCCAGTTACCAATTAGAACACTCTTCAGCCAGTTGTTGAAGTTCCTCATGAAGAAGATTCGGCTTCTGCTACGAGCTGCCCGGCCAACTTCCTGCAGCTGGTTGTAGTGACTTGCCACCTTCACACCGTGATCAAGCACCTGAGAGATCAATTACAGGGATCACTAATAAGGAAGACAGCCTCACAGCAGCTTTAATACCTGCTGATAAATATTTAGATTGTTTTTGTCTGCCTGATCTTTCCGAATTAACTTGAATAATAACTTCCTCCAAATCAACAACGTGTCAATCAAACCTCGTTCCTACAAGACTGCTCAAAGAAGTCCAAAAATTATAAATCTTAAATATGATCAACCCATCTCTTCAAGCTGGCAGTAGTTAAACTGTTACTTAAAGCCGCCACTTGACCTTTTATCTCAAACATTCTTGAAAGAGTAGATGTAAAACAGCTAACTGATCATCTGCAGAGGGATGGTTTAACTAAAAGTTTCAGTCAGGTTTCAGAGATCATCACAGTACAGAAACAGCTTTAGTGAAAGTTACAAACTTTGTGTCTTATGGCCTCTGAGGGTGGACTCATTCTGTGCCTTTCCTGCTAGGCCTCAGTCCTTTATTCAATATTGTCAGTGTTGGGAAGGTTACTTTTAAAATGTATTCCGTTACAGAATACAGAATACATGCCCCAAAATGTATTCTGTAACGTATTCCGTTACGTTACTCAATGACAGTAACGTATTCTGAATACTTTGGATTACTTAATATATTATCGTGCTTTTTACAACAACGTGAATGTACTATTGCTGTGTGATTTATTACTATTACTGAAGGTCCGCGACTCCGAACTGTAGCAAAGGGACCTCTGACTAATACGGCGGGGTCCCTGTCGGCTCGTAGCCGAAAACTAGCTTTACTTTGTTGTGTGGGTCAACTTTTCTTGCGACAGACAGAGAGAGGCGTTGAAAGACTGCTCCAACGGAACTTATTGTTTTCAGAGGAAAACAGGAACACGGTGTACAGTCGAGTCTTAATAGCTTACTTACAACTGGGCTCGTCAGGCACTCTTCTTGGCTGCAGTGGTTATTATTATATTTACATGCTTCCAGCTCCCGTTTTTCCTCGATGACAACTCGTACCTTTCCACTCCCCTTTTTCTCTCTCCCTCCTCGCGCTCACAGACCCATAATGTGTATGGCAGTCCATTCTCCCTGCAGCACGGACTACACTGCCCATGATGCTACATTCTTTAGAGCTATGCTTGTAGCATTCTGCCTGTTAGCTTAGCACAACAACGAAAAGGCGCTCTCTCACCCAGGAAACACACAGTCGCAGAGAGAGAGAGAGCGTCGCCCTGTAACCATGGCAACCGTAACGCTGCCGCCTGGAACAACAGAACGTAGCTGTCAAACAAAACCCAAGCAGTCCTGACCTGCGACAAAATGAAACGGGAAAGTACCGCAGTGTAATCCATTTATTTCAACAAAGTAACTGTATTCTGAATACCACCCTTTTAAACGGTAACTGTAACGGAATACAGTTACTCATATTTTGTATTTTAAATACGTAACGGCGGTACATGTATTCCGTTACTCCCCAACACTGAATATTGTTAACAATAATATTTTATTACAGCGATTAGAGCATGCTGTAGGTGTTAAAGGTACTGCGCTGTAGTGGTTTGAATCAATTCAATCTAACAGAGTCCTCTTCACACACTAAGGTTAACTGATACTCTTAACATTATGCATGTTTTCCCTCAGGCAGTCTCACAGAATAGCATAGCAAGTTCAGTCCAATTTTATTTTCATGTGCCAAATCAGAGCAAAAGTTGCTTCAAGGTGCTTTATATTGTAAAGTACAGACTGTAAAACACTGAAGACATTTGAGTTTTTAAATATGTTAGGTTGTTCGCTGAGTTTACAAATGTTTTCCAAATTATCCTAAACTTCTAAACTATATATATTTTTAGCAAATAGTTTTAAAAGTGCTGTCTGATCCTCTCACATCAAACCGAGACTTCATCTCACAACATGAAGAGCCTTCAGACAACTGCTTTAAAGAAATATAAAAAAAAATGAACTTGACAACCTGCTTCTTGCTAGGTGACATCTTCTCTTCTTCATCTTCAACATGCTTCCTCTTCATCCCCGAGTTCTCTTCTTGCTGAGCTCCTCTGGTCTGTGTTGCCTCCTCCATCGTTTCTGTCTGACGAGACTGAAGCTCCATCTAAGAAAAAAAAGAGGAGGAAGAGGAGGAGAGAGAAAAACAATATCAGTTTGAGCTGATGAAGCTTTATGTTGAGTTTATTGAGAATTAGTGATGTCAGCTTGACTGAACAATGCCGAACGTGATCCATTTACCTTTTTTAATAACCCGTTATATCCGAAAGGGAGAGTAATACATTATGATGTCAAAAACTACAATGTATTAATCACTGCTTATGCGCTACAGTCTGATGGTCCTGATTGGTATCGGAGTTTTCTATAATGAAATTTCTCATAAATAACTACACATAATAAATATTAGAGATATGTTAAAGAAAGTTTTAAGTTTTGTTAAAAAAAAAAACATCAATTGACTAAAATATTGCATTTTCAGATCACCAAATAGAGGTATCTGTCTTAACAATCTGATATCATTTGGAACTTGATTTAACCTTTTTAATGATAAAACTGCTCAGTGACCTTTCAGAAGTTGGAAATTTAAAGCCTACATGTTGGGTCAATCAAACTAATTAAAAACAAAAATTTCAAAGGTGGCACGGTGGTTAGCACTGTTGCCGCACAGCAAGAAGGTCCTGAGTTCAATTCCAACACCAGGCCGGGGTCTTTCTGTGTGGAGTTTGCATGTTCTCCCCGTGTTTGCGTGGGTTCCCTCCGGGTACTCCGGCTTCCTCCCACCGTCCAAAGACATGCAGCTTGTGGGGATAGGTTAATTGGAAAATCCAAATTGTCACTAGGTGTGAATGTGCGAATGAATGTGAGTGCGAATGGTTGTCTGTCCCTATGTGTTAGCCCTGCGACAGACTGGCGACCTGTCCAGGGTGTACCCCGCCTCTCGCCCTATGACAGCTGGGATAGGCTCCAGCGACCCTGAAAAGGGGAAGCGAATGGATGGATGGATGGAATTTCAAAGGTTACATAGAACTGTAAGTGCAGGTTAAACTGGGTTGTCACCATGTTGTAATGCAGTTTACAGTGATGGATGCAGGACTGTTTCAGGGCAGACTGTTGTATGGCCACTGGGTCACATATTGATGCTACCCTGGGCCTGACCTAAGTTAAATTGATGGGTGATGTTCTTTGGTGGTGTGTGCTTACTTCCACCTTTGTACTAATTTGGTTTGGAAAACTGTAGGATGCAGTAAGCCTGCCGCCTTCTTGTTTTCGCTGCTCCCCAGGGGACTCTACAGCGGCTCATCTGCCTTAATCTCCCTCTGCATGTCCTCCTTCACTACATCTATGAACCTCCTTTGCGGTTTTCCTTCCTTCCACCCCCCGGCCTCTGTGCAAAAAAGACGAGTATTTGTGCAGTGTGCCGTCACAGGATTTAATATTGCAGAGTCACAAACAGGACTCGAGTGTTTACTGAAGCAATGAGACTAAAGGGGTCGAGGATGCGTTTCCTTCTGAAACTTTAAGGCGCTATTTGACTCTTTTTACTCCGTGGATAAAACGGGTTAAATCTGGATGTGACCAGGTTAAAATCGGATACGACCCAAAGCTGCTCACTCTCACCTTCCATCAGTGACCAGAAGCTGCTACTGACTGTAAACTGACCGTTAGCCGCGGCTGCTAAGAGCTAACAGATGTCGGTGTGTGTTCAGAGATGAACCGGAAACAGCTAGCACAGTGGCTGAATGTGATATTCCAGTCGATACTAATCTAATGGATAACACCGAGACTAACTTGAATTAACGACCAAAGTTTTAGAGAAAAATAACTCACTGTGCTCCGCGAGAAAGACGCGTGCGCTTTCAGCCGCTTCCGGGTTTGTGCACGTCATATTTGCGTCACACCAGGGAGTCGGTGGGTTTTGTTTTTTGTTTTGTTTTTTTAAATTGAAAGTGTTTGTTAAACATTACATGAATGCATATACCTGATGTGTGAATGAGTATTTGGGTCACATTAAGACAAAAATATTATTGATCATTTTGAGAATAAAGTCGAAATTTCGAGATTAAACTCAAAGCGTGGAGATCGCTGTTGTTGTTTCAGGACAAACTGTCACAGCTTCTCCTATGACCTCTACAAAATGTATGGAGTTATAGTTATGCCTTAATAAATGCGCAAAATTTTTTTATCCGAAAATAATTTCATTTCGCGGTGCGATTAATTTCCTCTCACTTAAATCCAACGAGCGCACAAAGAAACCATCGCGCATGGAAAGTGTCTGCTTTGCATGTGCTGGTACAACACTCTTGTAAATTGCAATTTTTGGTAATACTCAAGAATGTTGCAATCTGCTTAGTAAAAACAAGTCAAACAAAAATGAATAAAATTTGTAACTTCTTAAAATCTATGCAAAGAGCAGTTTAAAGGGCTGGATTGTTTAAGCGCCACACACACTACACTTATGTATATAGAACTTAGCCATAATAATAATCAGGTCAATTATATAGGCCTTATCAGGCTACTTTTGTAGATCTGTACAGTTTTCTGTAAAGCCAAACAGAAAGTTTTTTTCAAAATCAAAGAAAATGTTCAGCAATTTGCCGCCCGGTGGCGTCAGTGTCCGGCAGCCTCGCCTCTGTCAGTGCGCTCCAGGGTGGCTGTGGCTACAATGTAGCTTGCCATCACCTGTGTGTGAATGGATGGATGACTGGATGTGTAAAGCACTTTGGGGTCCTTAAGGACTAGTAAAGCGCTATACAAATACAGGCCATTGCCATTTCCTTTTTTCATCTCCCTAATGATGCCACTTTTTTCCTTTGAATAGTTCCCTGTACTTCCTTATTCCTCCACCAGTTCTCCTTGCCCTCTTTCTTCTGTCCAAAGGATACTACAAACACCTTCATAGCAGTTTCCCCCAGCACTTTATCTGTACTTACCCAGTCATCTGTTAAGCCACCATCATTTGGACACGGAAGTCTCTGACTGTAGTTAAGCTCCGTTAAATTAATAAGAAAAAAATGTATATAGTTTGTGACACGCTTTACTCTTTAAGCTGCAGCCCTGATATCTCCAAAAGTTGATTCTGTTCATTTGGACGTAGCGGTTTGTGGGAGAAACGTTTCGTCACTCACGTCCAAGTGACTTCTTCAGTCTCAGCTGACTGCAGGTTTCCCCAATCTTATAAACAGTACATTTGCATAATGACTGAAACCAGCCCACTGAAGGAACAATGGGCTGGGAGGTCACCTTCATCATAATTATGCAAATTCTCATGACCATTGATCAACAACCACTGACCAAAGACGACTGATCAATGAGTACCATTCACAGAGAGTTGGGGAATGGCTGCAATCACAGCATTGTAAGATGGCGAAAGATGTACCCTTAGACCCCCTCCTCAATTCAGAGATGGTCTTTCCCTTTTCACGTAAATGGCCTCCTTTACTCTGCGCTCAAACCAGCGTTCCTCCCTGTCCAGGATGTGTACATCCTCATCCTTGAAAGAGTGTCCACTGGCCTGTAGGTGTAAATAGACTGCAGAGTCCTGGCCTGACGAGGTAGCTCTTCTGTGTTGTGCCATCCGCTTTGCCAGAGGTTGTTTGGTTTCCCCGATGTATAAATCCTGGCACTTATGTTTATAGGATTGGGGAAACCTGCAGTCAGCTGAGGCTGAAGAAGTCACTTGGATGATTGACGAAACGTTTCTCCCACAAAACGCTACGTCCAGATGAACTGAATCAATTTGAGAGATTTACTTACCTGGATGATTGAGTATGCATCAAGATGATGCAGCCCTGATAGTGTTCAAATCACTGCTCCTAAAAACGACATCCATTCCAGGAAGATCCAGGCTATTTGTGAGCTGTAGGAAAGTCTGAAATTTTTCCAAACCATCTGAAGTCAAGTCAAGTCAAGTCAAGTTTATTTATAGAGCACATTTAAAAACAACCAAGGCTGACCAAAGTGCTGTACAGTAAATACAGATAAAAATACAATAGAACACAATTTCGTAAAACACCTCGCTGATCAAATAAAAAATAAATAAACAAATAAATTAAACCTTTCTAAAAGCCAATGAAAAGAGGTGAGTTTTAAGAGCAGTTTTAAAAGTTTCTAGGCTTTTGGAGAATCTGACGTGAGGAGGTAAACTGTTCCACAGTCTGGGTGCAGCCACAGCAAACGCCCTCTCTCCCTTTGTCTTTAATTTATACCTGGGAACATCTAAAAGCATCAGGTCGGCTGACCTCAAAGATCTCCTGGGGCGATAAGTACTAAGGAGTTCTGACAGGTAAGAAGGTGCAGTGCCATTTAAAACCTTAAAAGCCAGCAGTAAGATTTTAAAATCAATCCTAAAAGCAACTGGGAGCCAGTGGAGAGAGCAGAGAACCGGAGTGATGTGGTCTCTTTTTTTTGAACCGGTCAACAGGCGAGCGGCAGCGTTCTGCACCAGTTGAAGGCGATGTAGACAGGAACGATGAAGTCTTTGTGTTGATTTGACGACACTTAGACACAGCTCTGTGTTTCTTTGCACTGTAAACCATTTTTATTGTTCCATAAGCATTATTTGACCATTTGTTCTACACTGGATGGCATTAAATTGGCCTCCAGTAACACTGTGAGGAATTTTGGAGTTGTTTTTGACCAGGCTATGTCCTTCAGTGTGCACATTAAATAAAAAATATTTGCACTGAGAAAGAGAGCCATATGTCTCCCATACCAGCTTCTCTTCGTTGGCTCCATGTTAAATCCAGAATCAAATTTAAAATTGTTCCTTACATACAAAGGTCTAAAATAATCAGGCTCCACCTTATCATAATGGTTAATGTACAGGTTCTTATATGGGACTTGTCTACTGTACCTGAGCACACCAAGTGCTTTACCCAACTTGCCTCATTCACCCAAGCACTTTTTAATGCTGTTTTTAAGTGCTTTCAAATGTTCACTCATTCATCCTCAGATGGATGCTTCAGGGAGCAACAAGATCCTCTCATCAAGATCTCCCATCCCAACAATGGACTCTTCTCACTGTTGAGGTCTGGGAAGCGCTTCCGCTCCTTTAAGGCCAAAACAGAGAGAATGAGGAGGAGCTTCTTCCCCCAGGCTATTCGATTCGGGCCCTGAACCAGGTGTAGGACTGGACTCTCCCCACACACATTACATCACTATAAGACTGGACTCTCACACACATCACCACACGCACTCTGGTTTTTCTTCATGCACACTTCCTATAATTTATAATCTCTTTCTGCTATTTGCACATTTTTTTACTGTAAATTTCTAAGTTAAATCTGTAAATTTTGTATAACCTGTGTATTGTAAATACTGTAAAACCACTGTCATTTAATGGTCGGGCATTGCATTGCACAGCTACAAGCATTTCACCTCATGTCTTACTGTGTATGGTTGTGTGTGTGTGACAAATAAAATTTGAATTTGAAGATATTTGGCATGCAGATTGTAATCAAACCACCAACCTTCCACCACCTGAGCTACAGCCACCGCAAATGGACATTTAAAAAGTAGAATGGGAAACAAAGCTTTGAATGAATGAATGAATGAATGAAAGCTTTATTTGTCACAAGCAGGTCGCCCTGCAGTGAAATGGGAACCCCCCCCTGCACAAAAAAGCACATGAATGTCCACAGCACAACATTGTGGAAGACATGACAAGCCACAGGGATGGGTAGGAGATGAGGAGTAACCCCAGGCAACACAGCAGCCATCCTGCAACGGCGCCGTCTCCAGCGCAGGCCCAGACCCGCCTCGTGTTCCCAGGGGGCAACAAGCATCGAAGGCGTTGGAAAGGGAGGGGGGATGAGTGAGTGCTTATCAGTGTAAGTGTATGTGTGTGCGTGTCCATAGTTCAGCTTCTTCTGTGGAAGAATCCAGCAGATGGCCGCTCCTCCCTGAGCCGGTTTCTGCTGAAAATTTCTTCCTGTTAAAAGAGTTTTTCCTTTCCACTGCCACACCAAGTGCTTGCTCAAGGATCATCTGATTGTTTAGGTTTTCTCTATTTTATCAAAGGGTCTTTACCTTACAATATGAAGCACCTTGAGGGGACTGTTATAATTATGTTTCTGAGTAAAATCAGCTGCTCTGTTCTCAGCACACCTGTGCATGTCTCTACAACGTGCTGCCAACACCAGCCCATTCATATGAATGTGCTGTAGCCAGACTAATAAATCCTGGGTTGATTTATTAAGCTGATAACCAATTTCATGTGACCTCCTGTCCTGACTGATGATGTTAGATTAGAGAAACCATCTGAAAAAAAAACTTACTTCTTATTACAACTAGGTGTCAAACAAATCCAGGTGAGACATCCTGTAATATGAAAGTTTTTTTTTTTAAATTATTAAAAAACACCAGTGACATGTCAGCTGACATCTGATGAAGAAAGAAACTGAATCAGGCAATTCTGATATATTTTATTAACAATCAACTTAACTTTGCTTCTTAGTTTCAAAGTAAAAATTTTAATCGTACATCTTTTAATCTGAAAGTCAAAGACTGGCCCCAAGGTGGCAGACTCTTCATCTGTGAGCAGCTGCTTTAAATGAACCCTTTAGAGTAAGAATATGACATCATCAGAAAGGGACACGAACCTGTCAGGGTTCAGTAACAATGACTGAGGGTTCAGAAAAAGGATATATTTTATTTATAAACATTGTATTTTATATGACCTACTGAAAAAGTAAAAGAAAGCTTCAGAATAACCATGAGCATAAGAGCCCACAGGTTTTTCAAGATGGCTGCCAAGTGGTGAGCCTGGAGGTTTGATTCAGGAAGAAATCGATGAGGACAGAGTAAGATCTTATCCAATCACCAATCAAACACATTGACTGTCTTTAAAAACACAAATGGGTACACGGATTCTGCTG